TAGAAGAAGGATCAAGTTTTGTGGACTTATTTCCAGAATCAAACACATTGCAGGCATTACGCAATGTTGTTAGTATGATTATAAAACATAAAGAATCTGTGAATCTTTAAAATAATTTATAAATTCTTTTTTTTTTTCAACATCAAATACTACTACAACTAACAGTTTTTATTGGTTTACAAACATCTATAATAAAGAATATACAATACCAACAGGCTTTCATGATAGTGGTATAGTCTGAGTCTTTTGGTAACAGACTATGTTCAATACAATAACAATATTTGTTTCAACATTTTAGCACTTTTTGAGTATACTGTAAAATGGAATGTGGGTTTATTCAGTTCATTTTATTTGACACGCATGCTGAGTACAGTGTGTTGACAGATAACCAATGGTTGATAGCACCTTGTCCGATAAGATCAATCTTGACTTTCTTGATTTTTAATAATTTGAAATCTGTCTTTTTTCTGCGCTACTGCTGTCGCTGATACTTATTTTGCTGTCGCTGTTTGCTGGTATCATTTATTGTTGTTTTCATGGAGTTTCTGGGAGTATCCCAGAAACTCCATGAGAATAACAGTATATTGTTCCTTGCGTGCTGCGCTGTTCTGCGCTGTGCCTTGCTGTTTTTAATTTGTTTTTACTTCCAGAGATCAGAGATTTATTTATATATTTTATGTATCCATCAGTGAAGAAACTTTATACAGCAATCTAGTTTGCTTTTTGTTTATCCTGTCTCTGATTTTTGGTATTGTTATTTCTGTATGTTTTGTTTTCTGTTTGACGAAATAAATGAAATGAAATGAAAGAGTAATTTTGACCTAGTTTCTGCAGTACACTCATGCTCATATTAGGGACCTATTGTTGGTAAAACGAATTGCGAATTCTTGCTGGGTCCTTAAACCCCATATCGGAAGCCATTGCGTAGTGTCACTAAATAACAGATACAATGCTCATATTGAGGGTTATTCAAGGAGCCGAGCGATCCAACACCAATTTAAACCCGATGCTGTTGGCCCGGTTTAAACTGGGGTCTTCAGCAAACGGCTCAGTACAATGATTTACTGTGATTACTCGTCCTCTGCAGACTCTATAGGCCTTCTCACCCATCGTCTGCTACAAATGTAAAATAGGAATTGTACGCATGTACAGTGTGTTGTATCATCGTAATCTATTCTAAACGTAAGCAAAATTTAGAATTTAGAAAAGCAGTTTTTTAAACTTCAAATATTTTTGAAAGATAATTGTCTTTTATGCATTGTTTCTAATAAATATCCCCCACCTTTCATCAAAAGTTTTTGATTTAGTGTCCTGTTGTTTCGATCAACTGCCTTTAATATTTACTTGCATTTGTGTGCATTATCCCACACTCATCTGACGTCTAATACACCTACTATAAATGGTACTATGGTTAATGGTTCTTAATGCAATAAACTCTATGTTTCTATATATTTTGCTTTCTATTGTTGGCTTGTTTTTTAATAATTAGTTTTCCAAATAATCAGCTTTTCACCAAAGAAGAACCTTAACAAAACATTTTACTTCCTTTAATAACGTATTTAAAAAGAAACCAGAATGAAACAAAGAACATTGTTGAAATAAACATGAATTATATACGATTTACAAATTTTGGAATCAGTGATGTAAATGTTGTCTTGTCTTGTAGATACTAAGACAATACATGTGTAAATAATACTCACCTTTAATACAACATTTCATTAATAATTTTATCATCTGACTTAATTATTCTTTCCAGCCAACCTCTGATATTCTGTAATTGAATTGTATTGTAAGTTGACAACAGATCTATGTTAGGATCAAAGAAGCTTGACATTTTTCCATCATTTAGGAACTGAATCAGTTTCATTAGAAGATCCTTGAAACGATCGTCGAGGTTGTCACACCTTTTCTAACTGTTATGTGAACTTAACAAAAAAGGTCTGTGATGATGCATACAACTACTATAACTTTAAACGTTTTTTTTATGCTCAATACATGTAACAACACTCCACACAACCTCCACTCACTAACATTGCCAGCTATTGTCAAGTGGGCTATTGCATCATTGATGCTCGCGTTTAAATTAGGGTTCCAAATAATTATCCTTCACCAAAGAATTACCGTAAACAAAACAACATTTTATTTCATTTAAATGAATATAATGTGTTTAGCCAGAAACCAGAATGACTGACTCATTTCTAAAAATGTTATAGGTGGTACATGGAACATTGTTGAAATAAACATTAATTATTTACCAATTGCAAAATTTCGGAATGTTAATCTACATTTTTATATAACTACAAATCAGTGATAAAAATGGCGCTGATGAATTTGTCTTGTAGATTTGAGGAATTACGTGTGCAAATAAAGCTCTTCTTTAGAACAACATTTCATGAATAATTTTATCATCTGACCTAACTTTTCTTTCTAGCCAATCTCTGATGTTCTGTAATTGAATTGTATTGTAAGTTGAGAACAGATCTATGTTACAATCAAAGAAGCTTAGCATTTCTTCTTCTCTTAGGAACTGAATCAGTTTCATCAGAAGATCCTTGAAACGATCGTCGAGGTTGTCCTGGTGCCACGACCCAATGTTTTTATCGGCGTTGAGATGCAGCATACATGTCTTAAGGTGATACGACGAGAGCATTCCAAGTTGAGAGGACCCCTTCCTCAATTGAATCGTCTTGAGGATCTTTAAACAAGTCCGACGACATTCGTTATTACCATCCATTTCTCTGATAATAACTTTTTCGTTTTCTGAAAAACTCACCCGCCAGAGGTTATTGAGCATGTTGTGGTCAGTTCTGCTCTGATACTGATCACTATCAGGATGCCGCTTTGCAACAACCAATTTGTTCCCGATCTTAATAGATGGAACAACATCGATGCTCATTCGTCGTGAGCCATCATACAGCACTTCTAGTGTCAGCGCTGGGCCACTTTCTCGTAGAGTGACACGTTGGACGTTTGGGAAAACCATATTATCTACTGCTCTTTTTACTATTGACTGCATCTTTCGTTTTATCGCAATAGGACTCAAGTAGACATCATTGAAAATGGCGTTATCATATGGGGTTTTAGTATTAAATACATAACCTTGTATTTTGGTGATGAAAACATATCCGGATGATTGATATTTACTATATTTCCAATTACTATTTTTTAACATCAGTGGTAGTAAGAGGTCAAACTCATCTGGTTCAATAACTTGTAGTCCTTCGTAACCACTCCCTTGTGCCATAATGTTGCCAAAGGTGTAATTTGTGGTCCAATCATTTTTTACAAACCTCTGGAGAAAGCATTTAATAGCCTCAACGACCTCAATAGCTGCCTTTCGCCTGTGAACTGGGATGGCTGCATGGTTATGGTAGTACCTTCGCAGCTCCATCAACAGTGGTCCTCGTCGTTGAATAAAACTTTCAAGGCGGATCTCTGGTGCAATTGGACCGATGTCATCTTCTTCTGCCTTATCTGGATTTCGTTTATTCGAACACAACCATTTGAAAGATCTGTAGATGATCCAGGCCAAGAATCCAATCCAAATTAAGGACAAAAATTCTTCAGGCATTATGTTGTTTTTCTTTCTAAAGAGAAGAAATTTGGTTAATATATGAGATCAAGAAAATTAAAGTTACAGAGAAAACACTGTTTGTGCACTTTAATGTATCAAGTAGGCCTACTCTATTGAGTAGGATCTGAAGACTTGATGGCCTAATGGGATACAGTTTGTAACAAGTGTCTTTATATATTCCTAAAATATATTTTATCAGAATAGACATTTCTAAGCTCATTTGTGCTAAAGAATGAAACAATTTTTTTTTTCGAGTTGGGGGTCATTCCGGCTTAAATCCAACCACCATGCCCCTGTAACCTCCCCAACCCTTAGATTTTCCTTTAAAAAATCTAAAACACCTTGATATGTCAAAAGAAAGAATCCAAAATTTCAGCTTTAATTTCCAAGTTTTTAAGTTATGACCTTTTGAAATACAGGTACCACGCCCCTTTTTCATTTTGGTAATGGCTCCATTGATTTCGTAAAATTTTTTACGAAGCTATATCGTCTGGAATAACAAAGATAAAAAGATGTAAATTGCTACATAGACTTGTATTTGGCCCCTCTTTCAAGGAACGCATTCAAATTTGGGTAGCATGTCTTATTAGAATGTTAGATGCCCCCAAAAATCCCCGAGGCATTGTGCAAAAAAAGATTTTCGCTATTTCGGAGGGCTGTATTTTATCATTCTTGTAAGAAAGTTAAAGGAAGTTAAAATTAAACATGAGTATAATTTGAACACAATTTTTCTTTGTTTGTTTGTTTTTTTGGTTTTTTTTTTTCTAATTTTGAAAAATTTAGGAAGGCATGGGCCGTCTGGGTCCCCCTTGGTTCCGCCACTGATATAGCTTCATAAAAACTCTACGAAGTCAAAGAAGCCGGCCGTTACCGGAATAAAAAGAGGGGTGTGGTACCTAAATATAAAAGGTCATAACTTAAAAACCGCTTTGAAATTGAAGCTGAATTTTGGACTCTATCGTTTGACATATCAAGGTATTTTTAGATTTTTTTAAAGGAAAATCCAAGGGGGTCCACAGGGACACTTTTAAATTACGCTTTGATGTTAGATTATGGAGAGTGAATAGGCCTAGTATTTATATATTAGGCCCGGATTAATAGTAATACTGTTTATAATTGTTACCTCAGAAATTAATTCAAGTGTCTTGATATGATCAATCGGAATAGAAAGCCCACTGGTACTAAAAATGGAATGGAAATTTGTTGATTAGCATCTCTACAAATGCGAGAAACGCTACTATAAACACAATAATGCAGAATCAAATAGCCATTGGGTTCCTGGGGTTCAGCTGAACCCCTTTTTCAGCAAACCCCTTTGACAAGTGAATCACCCTTTAACAAGCAAACCCAATTGAGACTTAAGCAATTACATTGCTATTATTGTGTAGTTTGTAAGATTGATTTCTAACAGAAAATATATATTGATGTTCAAATTTACTTAATTTCAGTGTTTTTACTGTCATTGTTGACAACTGTCTTGAAATCCTATGTTGAAAAGAAGTGATCATTATTACTGCATACTAGAACACTTATGCTCCTTTGCATTGGATAGTTACAAAAATATATTCTTTTTTAAACCGCAAGAAGTTATTTAAATATTCTATATACATGCTTTAAAAGTGCAAAATAGCTCCGAATTCGGAATGTTAGATGATGTAACCCATCGTGAAGAAAAAATAATTTGTCAAAATAGCCTATACACTCTAAAACAGGGGTGGCATAAGGGAGAGCCCCCCCCCCCCCCCTCCCTCTCCGGAAGAAAAACACAATTCGTCGGGGAAATTAAACAATTATATTTATATATGTTAGCAGGGGTGTATCCAGAATTTTTTTTCTGGGTGGGTCGTGTTCATAATATTTTGAACTTTTTCACAATAAAATAATAGCAAATGTGATTAAAATGTCAATACATTTTTTTTTTTTTTTTTTTTTTAAAAGGTCTTTGGACTCATTGCTGGTACCTCAATTTTTTTTTATGTAATTCGGAAAAGGCCTTAGAAAAAATGTTGACCTAAAATGTTGGGGGTCGTACGACCTTCCCGGCAAAAACCGTTAAATTTATGAAGTCAACGTGGCATTTACACATGCGCACTATGTCGGAGCTCGGGAATTTCCCAGTCAACAAAGCTAGAACGAACCAGTAGCCTATTCCAAACAGAAGTATTATAAATAATAGACATAAATATCCACTTCAGCAAATGCTAATGAGCTTGAGGTAAAGATATTAACAAGTACCAGAAGAAAAATGAAACTTCACACATGAAATATCTAAAACTATAGAGAAAAGCACGTACTATACACAATACAGGTACTGTATGTATATTCAACCCCTTTGTATATCCAGAGATGTCTATTTTTTTGGTATCCAATATTTCCCTCAAATTAAAAATACAATTGCAGCTAAAAGCTGAATTGGAGTATGTATTTTTATTATATACTGTACAAAAATATACATCAAGTATAAGGAAAAAAGCACAAACATCAAATAATTCAATCAAAAATCAAAAAAATTAAAACATTAATAAGGGACCTCATGGTGCCACATTACAAAAATGGCGGAAAAAACTATCAGCAAAAATGAACGTACAAGGATAAAGTAAAATCTATGCTTTAAAGCATGTTATATCATTTTCAACCAACTTACTATTTTGATTCGTGTGTTTTTAAGTTCCATGTACTGTGGCTTTAATCGTATCGAAGATTCTGTTGTCGAGTTTCCAGCAGTGCCAATAGACTGGTACAATTTGTATGTTGTACAGTAGTAGGTTTGTAGTAGTAGACCGCCGTGTCAATAGTATGGTAGGGCATTCGTTAGTTTACAGAAACGGGAAATATTCCAATGGATATAATGGAGGCTATGGGTTAATAACGCATTCCAACCCCTCGACGTTCGAAAAACAGGAACACGTCCACATAGAAACGTTCAAAACATTTATTTAGAAGGTGGGGCGGGGCATTTTCCCCTCCATTTCCTTCCCCGTAGGACTACGGTACTTGTGTAAAGAAATATAGGTTGTTCTGTAATATTAATTTTCCACACATGAAATTATAAATTATCATAAATATACAGATGAAATTAAAATAATTACTTCTGCTTTAAGAAAATTTAGGAAAATACTGGTGCATAAGACAAACACTGTATACTTTTATAGGTAAAATAAACTGTAAATAATGATAATATTACGATACATATAGATATCGGTACTTCTGAAATATTTTTAATGGTAACTATAATAGATAAAATATGCATGTGTGGACGGGTTTCAGTCCATGAACCCCGTTAAAATTATATTGACAGTAGCATGATTGGAGTATAACATAAATTCATTTAAAACTCTAATCTAATAAAATATGATTCTATATACAATATTATACTTTTTATGGTTGGTTTTTTTTTTTTAATTAGGGTTCCAAAAAATTATCCTTTACCAAAGAATTCTCGTAAAAAAAAACCCCATATTATTTCATTTAAATGAATATAATGTGTTTAACCAGAAACCAGTATGACTGACTCATTTCTAAAAATGTTATAGGTGGTACATGGAACATTGTTTAAATAAACATTAATTATTTCCCAATTGCAACATCCCATGAATAATTTTATCATCTGACCTAACTTTTCTTTCTAGCCAATCTCTGATGTTCTGTAACTGAATTGTATTGTAAGTTGAGAACAGATCTATGTTACGATCAGAGAAGCTTGGCATTTTTTCTTCTTTTAGGAACTGAATCAGTTTCATTAGAAGATCCTTGAAACGATCGTCGAGGTTGTCCTGGTGCCAGGACCCAATGCTTTTATCGGCGTTGAGATGCAGCATACATGTTTTAAGGTGATACGACGAGAGCATTCCAAGTTGAGAGGACCCCTTCTTCAATTGAATTGTCTTGAGGATCTTTAAACAAGTCCGACGACATTCTCTCTCCCCATCCATCTCTCTGATAATCTCTTTTTCTTTTTCTGAAAAACTCACACGCCAGAGGTTGTTGAAAATGTTGTGATAAGTTCTGTTCTGGTACTGGTCACTTTCAGGATGTCTCTTTGCAACAAATAATTTGTTCCTGATGTTCATAGATGGAACAATATCTATGAACATTTTTCGAGAGCCATAATCGTCGTCATCATATATCACTTCAAGTGTCAGCGCTGGGCCACTTTCTCGTAGAGTGACACGTTGGACGTTTGGGAAATCCAACTTTTTTACTGCTCTTTGAACAATCGACTGCATCTTTCGTTTGATCTCTATAGGACTCAAGTAGACATCATTGTCAATGGCGTCATCATAGGGGGTCTTAGTATTGGAAATACATTTCCTAATGAAAACATATCCGGGTGCATGATATTCACTTCCTGCAGCTTCTGTGCTTCTCCATTCACTATCTTTTAATATCAGTGGCAGTAATAGGTCAAATTCATTTGGTTCAACAACTTTTAGTCCTTCATAACTACTGCCTTGCGGCATAATGTCGCCAAAAGTGTAATTTGTCTTGCTTTCATCTTGTACGAACTTCTGGAGAGAGTTTTTAATATCTTCTACGACCTCAAAAGCCCTATATCGCTTGTCAACTGGGATGGCTACATAATCACGGTAGTACCTTCTCAGCTCCATCAACAGTGGTTGGGATTTCCGTTGTGGAATTAAACTTTCACCGTAGATCGCAGGCTCAATTGGACCAATGTCATCTTCTTCTGCTGTATCAGGATTTCTTATATTCTTTCGAAGCAACCACGTTACAAATTTGTAGATTCTATTCCAAGTGGTGTTTGATAAATCAGTCATGATGTGATTTTCCTTTAAAAAAAAAATATAAACTTAAAATAAAAATAACTGGGAAGTTGTTTTTAGTTTTGAGAAAAAAAAATTCACTGGACAAAAATTAACACAACTCCGTGGGGTTGGTAGGCAATCTCCACACAGATATATTGGGCTCGTCTTTGAATCATCAACAGCAAAAGCAATTTCCAACAGATGTGTACTGGGAAAGCTGATTTATCTGATTATAAATAACCCAGCAGGTGAATACTAATATTTAAATTGCACAACGATTATATGTGCAATGTAAAATATCCTGTACACTGAAGTCCATCTATTGATTATTTTACATTCATTATCTTGGAAGGTAAATATCTTATCTACAATTCCCCAACTGCAGACGAATATTGGACTTGTTTTTGCCTAATTACTTGGGCAAGATAAATCATCGCATAACCGCCAGGGGAGTAGGCCTACTGTAAATTGTTTGAGTTGCACTAAAAAAATTTAATGATTTTCCCCCTCTCGACTCAATTCATGATAGTGGCTTTTTTCCATTTACGAATTTTCTGTATTTCTTTCCTTGATGGCTCCCAATAGATAGTCCAAAATACACCTAGGCCTGTGTTTAGGAGTCGTAATGTTATTATTACTTTTATCGTTTTTAAATGAGTGACCAAAAAATATAATAATATATATTCTTAAGGCCAACTCAGACAGCGTCGGCCGACGCAGCCCGACCCGATTTATCGTCGGGGACAGTCT